CTGTCTCTCATTCTTGTCCTCTTTTATTATAACAGGTATTCTCCATACTTCATGCACTTCTGCGTCATGGTTTTCACAGCCAGTTTGTAGAATTTGCCTCAGTGTCTCTTGCACTGAAGAAGAGAGATCCACTGGGAGATTGAGCTTTTCTAGGAGGAAGTTTTCTGGGCTTAAGGAGAGCCCCTCTGGTGTTTTCCTGCACACCCACAGTAATTAATATCTAAATTAAGGACTTCCCCTTGAGGCCAGCCTCCTCCTGTCTTCCAGCCCATCTGGCTGTCCTTTGGGGCTCCTTTGACACTTCGTTAGCTTGTTACTAACAGCATAAGAGGCAGGCAAAGTCTCATCACCCAGTGTCCTATTTTTCAGAGTGGGAGGAAGAAAGTCCCCACATTGTCACCAAGGTCAGAACATAGCTATAAAAGTTGCTTTTATTCCATTCTTCATACACTTTACAATTTTGGAAGAAGCTCTGTTCTTTAGATAGAGTAAGGCAGGGAGACAGCCATAGAGAAGTCTCCATATTATTTTGGGCCTACCTCTTCCCTTCTGCAGGATTATAAGACCTGTTTCCAGCAAGTCATAGAATAGAGTAGCAGGTTATATTGTTAAGACAAATGGCAGATGATACTGAAAAAGCCTTATAGACCATATTGATCAAGCCCCTTATTTTATAAGTGAATCTGAGGTTCAGAGACAGGAAGTGATTTGCTCTAGGCCATAGGAAGTTAGTTTCTGGATCAGAAACTAAATGGGGGCCTACTGGCTTGGACTCCACCTCACGCTTTACTGATGCTGAACTCTTGGGTAAGACTTCCCCTGGGCTGTAGATGGTTGGATTGGTCCCAGCTTTCCTAGAAGCCAATGGATCTCTGCTGCCTCCTGCTGCAGACACGATGCAAGGTTTTTTGGCAGGCTAGGCAGGCATGATCTGACAATGGAAGACTAAGAAGGAAAAGTTAGTAAGGGCTCCTGTTAGCTATTTGTCAGTTTTCTAAGAGGAGATCTATCCTTGGACATGCAGCTTGATTCACTGTTTTTATTTTTCCATCATTATGATTATTCTGCACAAATGGCTATAAGATTGCCATCAGTGTCAATCTGGGGTACTTTAATACTTCATAATATACTGGTTGAGAACAGAAATGCTGTTATTGAAAATAAAAGTATTCCTCTTAGCTACAGCTGAAGGCTTTTTAAAGAACAGTTCAAAATTAAAAGAAATTGTGAAGTTAGAGTTTTATTGCTGGCATTCCCCATAAAAGCTTACCAGCGAAACCCTTTTATATTAGGGGTCAAGACACCTGAGATCCAGAGAAATTTAATAAATTAAGAAAGTGTAGTTATCTTGTATTAGTACAAGTATTCTGACTTAATTCAGTTATGCTATTTGTTTTGAGCTTCCTTTGTGCTAGATCTTGCTTGTTTTCCAGTTATTTTTGAATCTTGCTATATTTGTATTTAGATAGATATGTCTCTCCCTTTTATAGAAAGGAAAGAGTGAAGCACCTTTCTCATGAATGAATGTTTGAGTAGCAGTTTAAGGATGGTCTGAGTCCCGATGTTTTAATACTATGCTGCATCTCTTTAATGATTTGGATTTGTTAACTAGTTTGCTCCAGTGCTATAAGGTATAAGGTCTTATATTCAATTGTGAGACACAACCAGTGCTTTTAAAGAAAGGGAGCCCATCTGAATCCAGTAGCCACTATTTTAGAAATTTGGAACCCTAAGTTCTCACTGAGAACACTTTGTTTTGAGCACATCATTGTCATTGGGAACTCCTGTTAATACATTTGCATACTGAGTCATGTTAGCTCTTACATGTGGAGCTTCCCACACAGTGGAAGTCTTTAAAATGTGAAAAAGATAAGAACAATTTATGTGCATGAAAAGCCCCTGAGCAGATATCTTAGTTTCCAAAGGATGATAATGACATTTTTACTGCAGGTCAGTATCAGATAACAAAGGAAATTTTAGTTGAAATAATTTTAAATCATTTGAAATTTCTTCAAAATGTTGTTCCTTTGGCCTTTATTGATTGGATATCATCACTGTGCCTATTCATTAATTTCTTGTACTTCTTTTATTCAGGTATAAACACTCTACATCATTACTTATTTGTATAAGGAAGATAATGAAATGTGTATGAGTAGTATATAGTCCTACCAGACTGTGTTCCTCTCATGAGTATAACCTTTTTAATGGAAATACATAATGATATTTTCTTACTGTTGGTCCTTTGACATTTTAAATATAATGTAAAATATAGTTGAAGTATTATTTTAGACAATAGGTTTTAAAAAATCAGTTTTAGAGTCTACAGTTTTTTTGCCAGGCATGGTGGTGCATGCCTGTAATCCCAGCACTGAGGAGGTTGAGGCAGGAGGATCACCATGAGCTCAAGGCCAGCGTAAACTACACAGCAAGACCCTCTTTCCAAAAAAAAAAAAAAAAAAAGTTAAGTTTATTTCCCTTTCATTTTGCTTATACTTAACTAGCAAGTTGTCAGTATCTTTGTATATTCTTAAAAATAGATTTGTTATGCATATGATTCATTTTGGGTTTTCTTTTACCCAGTCCCCAGTCCCTAGTCCCCATGCCCTAACATGAGTGAGTAAGCTGAGGACACAAAGATCATAAGCACCCTAAACACCAGGGTCTTTGTTCACACGCGCACACCTCAGCTCAGAGTCCAGGTGGTGCTCTTTCCATGAGTTCATGTAAAAATGCCTCCCCCCCAGTGATTGTTGGAATTTTAATACCTATTCAAGAAACAGATATTCTTTATTCGTTTTCCTTCTAAAATCTCTATTCCTTCATCCATTGTAATGTGTTGACTGTGAAAATAAATTAGCAGGTACTCCAGGGAGGCAGAGACATTGGGATTTGCTGTGTTGGATGATGATGTCTTATCTTTTTGCTGATCTCTCTCACACTTATTGTCTCTTGTAGACAAGATGCCCAAGTGACTTTTAGCTTTATTTGTTGAGATTTTAGAACTTCTAGTATATGGAAACATTTATTTTATTTATTTATTTATTTTTGGTACCAGGGATCAAACTCGGTTCCTTGTGCTTGCAAGGCAGGTGGCGGAACCACTGAGCTAAATCCCTGACCCAGAAACATTTATTTTAAGCTAAAGTTTGATTATGGAAAGAATTGGAAAATAACCTTTGGTGAAGATGATTTGGAAAAAATATTGGCCTTATTTTAGATCAGGGGCACTCTATGAGGTTCTGTTTGTTGTAATGTGATAAGCATGCGAATATTTTCACTCAGTACTTTGTGTTAATGCTATAGTGCTATCTAGATAATTGATTTGCTATTAGTACATGTTTATATTTCACAATATTGATGTTTGTTTTGGGAAACTGCTACATGCATATGACATATTTTGCTCATTTTCAGTCCTTCCCTACCACCTTCACTTGGACACTTCCCTGGGATATTTTATACCCTGTGATTATATTACCTATTTACCTTCTTTTTCTGTAATATTGAAAATGTATGCAAATCATTAGCCACTAGGGAAATGCAGCTCAAAACTGAAGTGTAAAATGGGAAGAAAGGAGCTAAAGGTGTAGGGAAGGTGGGATGGGTAGGGGAAGGGTAATAAGGGAAAAGAAAAAAAATGTGAGATAATGGAAAGATGAAAATAAAGTGTTTGTAGATGGGGAGGGGAGGAGGGGGTGAAGGGAGGGCAGGGGTAAGGGGAAAAAATGAGAATCAAGACTTGTCATGTAGAGGTACAGGATCCCAACAATGAATGTAACTGTGTTGTATCCCTAAAATGTACCAATAAACTCAATTAAAGCTGGGGGAAAAAAAAAAAAACTGAAGTGTAAGCTGGGTATGACAGCTTAGAGTCCTGAGACAGGAGGCTCACTTGAGCCCAGTAATCACTATGCTGGACAGCATAGTGAGTGACTGTCTCACAAAACAAAAATCACCGTGAAATGAAATGACATGTCATGCTCATTGGAATATCTTAAAAACATACATAGATACCTGGTGGGAATATAAAATGGTGCAGTGACTGTAGAAAATAGTGTTCATCCAGAGGCAAATGTAGATTTAAATAGTCATTCTCAAAGCATTGACCAACCAGTTAATAAAATAGCAGAGTTCACAAATCATTTACTCATTGAAGTAAATTTGTTTTATAGATAAAATATGTCCACACAAAAGCATATATGTGAATGTGCATAGCAGTAGTATTGTGACTAGCCCAGAATTGGAAGCAGTGCAGGTGTCCATCAAATGAATGGACCAAAAAAAAAGTCACATATCTACCTGGTGGCCTACACCAGTATCCCAGCACTTGGGGAGGATAAGGCAGGAGAACTGCCATGAGTTTGATGCTAGCCTAGTCTACATAGTGAGTTCAAAGCCAGTCTGAGCTACATAGGGATACACTGTCACCAAAAAAAAAAAACAACCAAAGAAAAAGTCACATTCCATACAATGGGTTATCATTTGGTAGTAAAAGGAAATGAAATTCAGGTATATCGTATACCAGAATGAGTCTTGGACATTATGCTGGTTACTAACGACCGCTCTGTGTCCATGTAAATGAATTGGCAAGTAGATTAGTGATTTGTTAGGGCTGGAAGAGTTGGAGGGAGATGAGGAATAATTGCTAATAGGTATGGTATTTTTTAGAGCAGTGAAAATGTCCTAAATTAGGTAGTAGTGATGGTTGCACATCTAAATAGCATTGAATTGTATATTTAAAGGGTTAATTTTTTCAATAAAGTTGTTATTAAAGAAGTGATTATAGAGATATATTTGCTTCCATTTGCGTAATTTCTCTCTGGAATGATAAACAGTGGCTGCTTTGGAAAGAAGAGCCACATTCCTGTGGGTCCAGAGTTGGGGGGTTATTATGTCTATTGAATTTTGTATCATGTGCTTATATTACCTATTTCACAAATAAATAAAAGTTTAATAGTCAGGGTATTAATACCTTCTTTCCTTCTCAATTCTACTATGAACAGGTCCTCCAAGGTTTAGATTATCTACACAGTAAGTGCAAGATTATTCATACTGACATAAAGCCAGAAAACATCCTGATGTGTGTGGATGATGCATATGTGAGAAGAATGGCAGCAGAAGCCACAGAGTGGCAGAAAGCAGGTGCTCCTCCTCCTTCAGGGTCTGCAGGTGAGGGAGCTGGGTCTTCTGTGTTTCTGTCTGCTTGGGGGCACTGTAACCTTCTAGACTTGCACATTGAAGGTAATTGAGTCAGATGTGTACGTGAATAGTAGAAACTTTTTATAACAGCTTAGTTTCTAAGAATAACTGGATCTTTTTCTTGAGATGTTCCATTTAAATCATATTTTAATATTTGAATTGCTTATCTTTGTCCTTCATTAAATTAAGCTGGACATGATGACTGACACATGCCTGCATTCCCAGCACTCTGGGAGGATGAAGCAGGAGGATCACAAATTTGAGGCCAGCATGAGCAATTTAGAGAATTATTAGCTAGACTCTGCCTCAGAAGATAAAAAGGGCTAGAGATAAAGTTTAATTAAGGCCTTCAATTCATCGCCCCCCACCCTGACTTCTCTAAATTGGCTGGTGCTTCATCTATACCTGAAGATTTTCTTTTGTGTTGCCCACATTTCTATGGAGAATATAGAAACCACATTCTTATAGCCAATCTGTAGTCATCAGAATTATAGTTTCAGTTTTGTTGGAGTGCAGCCTTCTCTTTGGTTATCATAGCCATATCAGTATGAGCTTAAAATGGTGCATTTTAGTTATGAAAATTCTAAGAGTATGGAAAGAAGACCAGGTGAGATTTGAGTATTAGCATATAGAGTTTTATTTCTGAATGGTGACAGTAAGCGTTGACTGTGCTTTTGTACTCTTCATAAAGCCTGCTCTCTCCCTCGTGTGTTGTCAGGTAAGCTTACAGATGAAACAGCGGGGCTCCAGGGAGATATGCTCTCACTCCATCTCGTCTGCTGCAGTCAGAGTGTTATGTAGATTACGGAATCAGTCAGTCAAGCTTTTGATGATGATTGGAGCCTGATGTGATTCCAAGAACCATTGCTGCAGCTTGCTGTACTGTTCGATTTAAGTTAGTTTTATACAGCTTGCCAAATAGATGTCAAACACAGATGTGCATCTTCTCATCTTTGTTCATTTTATTGTCTATAAACAAATTTGGTTTGGTGACTGATTTATGCACTGTTCTCCATTTTTTTTTGCCTTTTGAGATAAGGTCTTACTGTATACTCTGGGCTATCCTTGAACTCACTATATACAGTAGACAGGCCTTGAATTTGTGGCAGTTGCCTTGCCTCAGCCTCCCAACTGCTGGGATTATAGTCATGTGCCACCACACCCAGATATATTCTATTTGTAAAAACTGTCAGTGCTTTGACACTGACTGGTTTTGAATTGGCTCAATATGAACAGCTCGAGTTTTTGTGTTTTTTTTTTTTTTTTAACGTTTTTCAACTTGGATAGTCATTAAAAGGCAGTAGTTGCTGGGTGTGATGGCATAAGCCTATAATCCCAGTTATTTGGAAGGCTGAGGCAAGAGGATCATAAGTTCAGGGCCAGCTCTGGTTATTTAGCAAGGCCCTATCTCAAACAAGAAGAGCTGAGGGTGTAGCTCAGTGGTAGAGTGTCTCTGGATTTGATTCCCAGCATGTAAGAGAACAAAAAACAAATATTTCATTTTGCTGTTTGAATTACCTGAAGAAATTTATCTATTTCCTCTAAACATTCATTTTGTTTTATTTTGTTTTAGTGAGTACAGCTCCACAGCAAAAACCTGTAAGTACTTCTACCTATACTTTCTTTTCAACCTGTTAAGTGCGACTATTGAGCTTTTCAGATTACAACAGATATGCTAATGTATATTAAAGTAAAAGCTAGATGGGCTGGGAGTGTAGTTCAGAGTTGTTGTACCTCCCTGGCAAGTGCAAGGTCCTGAATTCAATCTCTAGTACAATATATAAATAAATAAGATGTGTTTATAAAGATTCTGTAGCCTTAATTTAAATTGAAATGATCTCTACAGAATTGGAATAATTAAAACTATTGTAAGATCAGTCTTTCTTACACACTTTCTGCGGGTGAGGGTGGTCAAGTGTGGAGAATTGTGGGGTGATAAAGTTTGATTATTCCAAAATCATTTTACATTACTTCTGATTGGCATCCAAGTTACCTGGTTTTCTAATATAGTCGTCCTAATGTTTTTCTTAGCTACTTATTTACAAATAAGAGAATGTTGCCTATTTTGTGGTTCCTTCAGAACACTGTGCCCAACAAATAGCCCTTGGTTTGTAATAGAAGTGCTGATGTGAGGGGCAGGGAGAGTAGAGCTTCCGGCCTGCTAGGTCCTGAGTCACCCCAGGGTCTCATCTGTCCTGAGGGTGTGGGTTTCCTGATCCTGTGAAGCTTGGGACACTTTCATCCCCAGAACTGTATACGTCTCCAGTTGGATCCACACAAAGCCTGTTTTGTTTTTTTTAACTCTCTGACTCAGTATAATCATTTCTGAAAGTTCATGTTGTCTGGCTGTTTATAACAGCTCAGTACATGAGAGGCACACTCAAGCAGTGCTGCTGACTACCTGTTTTGGCAGGCTTTCCTTTTTTTTTGGTCAATTAGGTTACAATGTGCTACTTCATGTATAGGCAGTGACTCATAAAACTTGTAAAAGGACCTTCTTGCTTAAATCTGATTATTTTAGGATATGCATTTCTTCCTAGAGTTTAAATGGTGAAGCCTTGGTGATCTCAGCCATGTCCCTTGAGTGCCAGACTTGATAATAGACCCAGCACCTGATATGAGCCAGTACTGCTTTCTCTTTTATCAAGACCCTAACCACAAAGATGAATCTTCTGTCTGGGCTTACAAATTTCATTGAACATGATGTGAAAAATTAGCATTTATTGGTATTCTCCATGCTGCCAGCAGTTGTACTGTGATGTGGTTCCTTAAAAAGAGAAAACTGACCTATGGTATTTTCTTAACGTGTTGTAGATAGGAAAAATATCTAAAAATAAGAAGAAAAAACTGAAAAAGAAACAGAAGAGGCAGGCTGAGTTATTGGAAAAACGCCTGCAGGAGATAGAAGAGTTGGAGCGAGAAGCTGAAAGGAAAATAATAGAAGAAAACATCAGCTCTGCTGAGCCTTCCAATGAGCAAGATGATGAATACCGCCCAGAGGTGAAACTAAAAGCAGCAGAATTAGAGGAGACAGCTGAGGAAGAGACCACAAAGGACAACGGTCAGTGGGACCTGGAGATGGGGCTTTTCATGGATAGGGACCAGTCGGGTCACCACCACAGGATGGTTTGTGCTGCTGCCTCAGATATGACGGAGTCTGCCTTTCCTTACTGAGGAACATGGGAAACTCTACTTTTTTCACAGTGTACATTCCAGGCATATGTTAACATTTCAGAGCAGTTTTCAAAAAAATGATAGTGCCTGAGAAACACCATTTTTCTGTCATGCTGACAATGGCCCATCCTTTATTTAGTAATAAACCTTTTGCCTAACAATACTGCATCACAAACCTTTTTCCTGTAGGAAAGGGTAGAAGTCCAACTTTATTTATAAAACATTATCCCAAAAGTGTATTGTTTTGTTTTGTTTTTTGGGGTATTTTTTTGGTACCAGGATTGAACTTGGGACCTTGTGTTTGGGAGGCAGGTGGTGGGACCACTGAGCTAAATCCCATGCCCTTCTGTTTCTTTTTTTATAAGTATGTGTTTGTGATACATTAATTGATCCAAAAGCTTTTTTTTGGGGGGGTAGGGTTTTGCTATATAGTGCAGACTGGCTTTGAACTCACTGTGTAGTCTGGGCTGAGCTTGAAGTTGGAATGATCTTCCTGCTTTGGCCTAGTGAGTTCTGGGATTACAGGCATGTACCACTATACTTGGCTTCCCAAAAGCTTTTCCCAAGAAGAGTAGACCACTTATTAAACAAGTGAAAAATAAGATTTAGAAAACCTGAAGGTTTCTCTCAGAACTGGGTGGTATCAACGTTTGGTACATAAATGAAACATATTAGAGTGTATCATGTTGGGGGAGGTTAGGTGCCTAGTGCCTCTTCTTGAGGAGAATAAGTCCTAATTGCTACCCTGTCAACTTTTTAAGGTGAAGCTGAAGACCAGGAAGAGAAAGACGATGATGAGAAAGAAAACATTGAGAAGGATGAAGATGATGTCGATCAGGAACTTGGGAACATAGACCCTACATGGATCGAATCACCTAAAACAAATGGCCATATTGAGAATGGCCCATTCTTACTGGAACAGCAGCTAGAAGATGAAGAGGATGATGAAGATGACTGCCCAAATCCCGAGGAGTATAACCTTGATGAGCCGAATGCAGAAAGTGATTACACATATAGCAGCTCCTATGAACAATTCAATGGTGAATTGCCAAATGGACAGCATAAAATTTCAGAGTCCCAGTTTGCCGAGTTTTCCACCTCGTTGTTTTCTGGGCCTTTAGAACCTGTGGCCTGCGGTTCTGTGCTTTCCGAGGGATCACCACTTACTGAGCAGGAAGAAAGCAGTCCTTCCCATGACAGAAGCAGGACGGTTTCAGCCTCCAGTACTGGGGATTTGCCAAAAAGTAAGTGTCCTTTCCCACCCGCTGTTTGCTTCCACTTGGCATGTTGTGCACAGGCGCTGCTGAAGAATTGGCTGGAGGTGGTAAAGCTGTGAACACCATTTTCATTTTCTTGCTTTTATACTCATGAGCAAGAAATATGCTTTAAAAATACTCTGTGCCACTAGGCTTTCTCTTACTCTGTATATATGAAACCCCATTTCTGGGCTTTTGTCTCCCTCTCTTTTTTTTTTTTGTACCAGGGATCCAATCCAGTCCTTGCGCTTCTTGCGCTTGCAAGGCAGGCGGTGGAACCACTGAGCTAAATCCCCAGCTCTCTCATTCTTGATTTAGTCAGTGACATCAAACATTCGCAAAAACCCTCCAGTTCTAAAAATCTTGTAGCTTTCACCTCTTCCATCTGATAGTATTACATTTAATTTCTTTTGTTTTCTGTTCAAGAGAACATCTGTTTGTTCTTTGGCTATTTGAGAAAGAAGTATTGTGATTTAGCTTACTGTTGTCCGATTCTAGAACCCTGCCTCTATGGATAACTGGCCCAGGATGTAATGGCATGGATTTAAACATGATGCTGGGTTACAGGTTGCAGGTTGCATCTTGGGCTTTTGCATCTTATTTCAAACTCTTATTTTGGGAGTGCCACATGGAAAATTTCACATGGCTGGTTTCAGTAAGTGAAAACTAGGTGTCACAGTTGGTTTCCATTCTGGCCCCTGGTGAAAAAGCTCAGAGACCACCGCTGCTCCCTCTGCTGACAAGAGTACTTAACACACAGTGAGTAATTGATGGGCCAGCCCTGCGAGGAGCCCAGGAGATTCTGCAGCCCCTTCCATTGCAGAGGCCACTGACCTGCACCTGAGGCAGGCCCAGCCATCTATAACTAATCATCCTAGTGTGTTTCCTTTTCTTGGCAGGGCATGGTTAGATCCAGTGAACTTTACCCTCCCTACATTTACTGCTGCAGTGATAGTTCCATTTTTATCTTATTTATAGACTCATACAGAAAGTAATTTACAAGTTAGCTTTTTATTCGTTATTTTGCAAGTGGAAGGTTGGGGTAGTGGCTTCAAATATATGATATATGAGATTAAATCCCAGCTCAAAACTTAATAGCTATATGGGACTTTCATTTTGTAACCTCACTGAGCCTCAGTTTCTTCCTCTAAGGAAAGAAATGACTACCTCTATGTTTAATAAAATATTATAGATAAATACATAATAATAGTAATATCTGTGAAATTTCTCAGTGAATGTCCTATAGTTGCTACAAACTGTGGAAGGGACATGCTTACTACTGGTCTGCTATGTTGTTAGAATCTGGGGCCCAGGCAGGTTGGACACTTCAGCAAAGTCACTTGCTAATAACTCATGAAATCCTGAGCACGGGCTCCTGGTCTAGCTTTGTTGAACACATTATTATTCAAACTGGGAAGGTAGAATGGGTATAAGTTTAGACCTGGAAAGAAAAATTTCTCACAGGGGAAAAAAAAATAATAGAGGAAAATTTAAAATTGTGATGGATGAGCCAAACGTGGTGGCACACAGTTATATTGTTGGCACTAGGGAGGCTGAGGCAGGAGGATTGCTGCGAGCTCAGGGCCAGCCTGAGCTGCATAGTGAGCTCAAAGCAAGTCTAAATTAAGTAGTGAGACTGTGTCTCAAACAACAGAAAGAAAAAGAAAAAATTTACGGTGGATGAATAAATGGGTGATGAGAGGAAATGTTGTAATTTAGGCAAGATGTAAAATCTTTCTGAGACAGATGAACTCATTGTGTTCCTTGTTTGAAGAATACTTGGACCCTGCCAGGGAGCAGGTGCCATCTCTCAATGGGTGTGAGGCTGTGACCATCCACCTGTGCATGACTTTGCTTCCCAGACCTTACTCTGTCCTTCCAACCCCCCTGAGCAGACCACTGTCCTGGTCTTCAGGCATCTCACATGTTAGTGTCCCCAGTCTCTGGTCTTAGCACATTTTCCTGACACTTTGCAGTCTCTTTCCCCGACCAGCCTGGCCTGTGATTGCTGCGGCCTTCTGTGTGGCCTTGATGCCCATCCCTCCCTATTCACTCAGTCAATGCCTGTTGAGTCCTAGCAGTGTTCAGGCCCTGTTGTGGATGCTAGGAGTCCCTTCCCGTGGCTGCAGTTCTGAAGGGTGTGATGTGCTCTGGGTGTAGCAGGCCTCAGGCGAGGGCTCCCATGGGGTCCTGGAGAGGTCCTGATCCTCGGCGCATCACTGGCTGGAGACACTCTCATCTGTTCTCCTGTGCTGTGCTGGAGGGCCATTTCCCAACAGCTTTCATGATGGCTCCATCTCCAGGTCACAGGGGTACTTCAGATTGAACACTGGAAACCAGGATGCGTCTTACCCCTTCTTTCACTTTGCATCTGGTAAGTCATCACATCCTGCCAGTCAAGCCTGCTAACCAAGGGCCCCTTGATTGTCTCTCAGCTCTGCGCTGTCTGGTTGCTGGCCCTCCTGGCTTCTGAATGCTCCTCCCGTTGCTGAGAGAGCGTTCTTGTAAGAATTCAGGTTAGATTATTTTACTCCACCACTCCCGTCAAGCTCAAACACTCATCTCTCTGCATGGCATGTGCATCCCCGAGGAGCCAGCACCATCCATGGAAAGCAAGAAGGGATTGTTAGTTTATCTTCGTATTTTTGAGAAATTATTTTGAAAGAATAGTACAGTAAACAACTCTGTGTTCCACAGATTCCATGTTAACATTTTGAAACATTAGTACTGTTATTATTGGGGGGAGGGCAGAATTGGAGACTGAACTCAGGATATATGCTACATCCCTGGCCCATTTCATAGCATTATATTTTAAGACAGGGTCTCACTGTCACTGAGATGCCCATGATGGGCTTGAACTTGAGATCTTCCTGCCTCAGCCTTCCAGAGTGCTGGGATTACAAGCCTACAACAGGCAAAACTTACAGATTTACTTTATATTGAAATTACATGATGTAGCTATAGATATAAAGATACTTAGGCATCCCCTGCAAGATGAATTAGGACATTTCTCTATCATATTAAACACTATCATATGTAAGAATATAAATTATAATATTATGTATTGGTATTCATCACGTATTCAGATCTCAGTAGTTCTGAAATTTTCCCAGTTCCAGAATAAGATAAGACAGTGTACTGCCTCCTGGGTTGGCACTTCCTGGCTCCCTACCAGGCCTCCGCTCTCTTTTCCTATGAGTTGTACTTTTCTTAATCACATGATCATGGCTCACCTCCATTATTTTCCTCATTAGAATGTAGGCTCTTTGAGACTGCCAGGTCTGTTTATCTTTGTGTCCTTAGCATCTATTGCTGAGGTGAATATTGATTAACACATCCACAACGGGACTGTAATTCATATGTCTCACAGCCAGCTGGCTCAGATTGAACATGTTAGGTTCCCACCAGTTTGAACCGCCAGTGTTGTATGCGTGATTGTCCATTTAGCGGCCTGGGACAGTCCTTCTGAGTGGTTCAAATTGCCTGATGGGACAGGCATGCACTGCCACCGGTGGTTCAAGCTGGCAGGAAAACGTTAATGAACAAGTGAGTGATATCTGGCTATATTCTATTCCTCCTCTTCTCTCCTCTTTTTCCATTCCCAATCACAGTTTTGCTCTGCCAACATACTTAATGTCCCTGAGAGCAGTATCTGAGATGGTCCCCACCTTTTTTTCATCTCATCCATCCCATCCTCTTGCCCCGAGCAAGATCTCCTTATCCAGGCATCTGTTTGGAGTCCTCCTTTTGGTTTCCAGCTTAGTGTGTGATAACTGTGGGTAGCCTGCCCCATGGGGAGATAGTTTTGGCTTCCTGCATGGGAAGGGCCTGGCCTGCTGGCTTGTAGTTGGCTGCCTGGTCCTTCATGGACTCGAGGCAAGAGAAGCAAGCTCTCCTGAGTGTTTGTTGAGACCTTGTTTATGGACCAAAGTGTGTACCTCAGGAAGAGAAAAGAAAGTTGGGAGCCAGACTAAGATGTTTGGAAGAACTTAAACACCAGACTAAAGGATGTAGAATTTTTCTAGAGTACTTTGACAGCCATTTAAGGTTGAGAAGAAGAGGCAGGGCTCATCTTAGGTTGTTTGCAGCCAGAGCCATACATAATATGCATCTTGGCTCGTGACATCTGAAGGCAGTGGAGCAGAGTGATCTTGTTAGTTTCGTCTGCGGGGTTTACCTGGTGTCCTCCTCGTCCTCACAGTGTCATCTGTGGCTGTCAGCCCTGTCCAGCCTCCAGCCCATTGCAGGTCAGCTCTGGCTCCTCAGACTGTCTTCTTCTGTCTTGGTGTCTCTTTAAAGGATGTGCTCACATCTCTTCCCCAAATGATCTAGAAAGGAGAACATGCCCTGAGGCATCCCTCACTGCTGGCTGCCACCTATTCCCTGGTTCCCTGGTCACATTTTTGTGTCACAGGCCTGGCTGCATCACTTACCCTGGCTTCTTCTCAAAGCTTCTTAAAATTGTAAGGCCTTTGTACTTCCTGTTTCCTCTGCCTCGAACTTGTCCCTCTCCAGGGCTTCCTGGATTCAAACCTCTCCCTGAGTATCACATTTTCAGCAAAGACCTCTCCTGAACAACCTCTTCATTATCTATTTCCTTTCTTTGCTTTTTCTTCATACAACATGTGGTTATCCAACAGGGTGTGTGTTAGTTACTTTTTTGTTGTTGCTAATACAAGATATCTGACACCTAAAGTTAAAGGAGGCAAGGGTTGTTTTGGCTCACAGTCTGTAGAAGAGGTTTCAGTCCAGACTTGGCAGAGGGGCATCACAGAGCAGAAACCGTTCTTGGCAAGTAGCAAGTGGCAAATGGGGCAATAGCAGCTTCTTTCTGTCCCTTCGTATTCTGTATAGGCTACCCACCCTTAAAGCCAGTAGCACTCACACCTAGAACTATGCCTGACCAGTAAGTGAACTAATTTACTAGTCACACACCCTTAATCCCAGCATCACACACTCTAGAGCCAGCCACCTCTGAAAAGCCCCACCTGCGACTGCCTGCGGCTTTGTGGGGACAGCTAGACACAGACCATAACAGTGTGTGAATCGCTTATGTACTCGCTTTCTTGCCTGTATTTTTAGCTAGTCCATGAGATCCCGACTTGGCATGCCTTCTTCATGCTGGAGTCCCCGTGCTGACGTGGCTCCTGGCCCCCAGGGGACACTCAGCCTATGTTTGTGGAGGTGATGGCTGTAAGTCTCCTAGATGTGCTCTTTCCGTGGGCTGGTGCTGACCCTTCTGCAGTTAGAGCACATTCCTGCTCTCCTTGAAGGACCTGTGCACCTGCACAGGGTCTTGCACACGTGCAGGCAGCTGTCTCTTCACTCTGAGGAGACTGACACAGAAGCATCACCTAGAGATGGCTTTATCAGAAACTGACTAAAAGCCCGGACCTTCCTGAAATCTTCCCACTTCTTGGTGGAAGCAGACAACATTCGCCAGCTTTTCATTTTGGAAGGGAGATATTGCTTGCCGGTTTGTCATTGGTTTTTGCATTATCAGTGGAAAGGGAGGGCTGTGGCAGGTCATCGCAAGTGAGGCTCAATGAGAGGTTGTGATCTGATTCCCAGCATAGCCAAATTTGAAGGGTTCTGCTGTAAGCATGAGTGTCCCTGGGTGTTGCTGTGGGCAAGTACCTGAGTGTTGCAGGCAGCACCTGAGCACAGAAGCTATCACACTGAGAAGAGAAATCAGAAATACAAGCAAAATCTCTCTTCCCTGCTCTTGTATTCTTACACAATAAATTATTGAGATAAATTACCTGGTATCATTTAGAATGCATTGTGAGTAGAATAACTATTTACAAGCCTGAACCAGGAGGATAATAGCATGTCACCAAAGAGATTTTGCTCACTGAACATAAATGAGGGATATTAAATACAAAGACACTATCTAAATGTGTGGTGATAGTGTCTCTGACAGTATATTTCCTCTAGCATAATTGAATTACGCAGCTCCTGGGAGGTGTTTTTTAAAATCAACAGCTAGGAGTGGGTGGCAGATTACAAATGAGCTTTTTCACTTGTGTAGCCTCAGATAACAGCCAACTCAGTTCCCACTCTCATGGCAACAAAGATCTTCCTGAAGTTCAGGGGCCACAGGATGTCTAGCTTAGTTCCCCCTTTTCTGTGAGTTGTGTGTGGGGACCCTAGGCACACACACCTTTCTGCCTCCCTGCTGGTCCTCTGCTTTCTCTGTAGGGCAGCTCAGCTGGTCACAGCACAGATGCTGCGTCGACTCTCCTGTTCTTTTTGGTTTTTGTTTCTTTGGGGGAGGGTGGTTCCCTCTCCTTTCTCCTTTCCTGGAAACTGAGCTTTGGATTTGTCATTTCCAGTCTTAAAATGTATAGGTACAGAAACAGAATGCAGATAAAATTAGAGTAAATATTGCTGACCTGGGAAATGCTAGCTTTGAGTGTAATTCTGCATGTCTCAAATTCCTGCTGATTGTTCTTGATTTAGTATCAGGAGGGAATCATCTAGCCTTTTCTTGTGTGGTCCATTTCCCTATTGGAAGTCAGAATTTTTATGTTTATCCCAGAACACTGTTCTGAGCCCCTTACATATTTTGTCTTCTCTTGTGGGTCTATCTGCTGCTTTCTTTCTCATAATTTTCTGAATTCCGTTTTTTCTCAGCTTAAACTTTGCATTTGGTGAGGCCCCACAATATATCAGGACCTTTACGAAAGGGATGCAGGCATAGAGCGGATGGGAAGGAGGAGCACATCTTGAGCTAAAATGCTGGGCAGAATCCCTGTAGCACTGTGAGACACAAGGCTGGCCTGACCATGCTGCAGTCCTCTTTGCTAAGGTCAACAAAGCTGGCCTACCTTCCTGCTTGGGGTGTGCCAAGGAGTGGGCCTCCTCGATCCCTGGGGGAGCACAGTTCCTTGTGCCCTGAAAGAGGTTTAGGTCATGTTAGCAGTTCCCAGTTTTGAGTGAGCAGAGGGACTTTACAAGGGGCTGTCTGGATGCTCTGCATTGAGCAGGCTTTTCTGCTTAATCTGTGAGTACTATTTCACAGTTGCTTCTGTAATAAAAGCCACAGTTCATTTGAGCCTCACCAGAAACTTGAGCTCCTATGGCACTTTGTGGTTGGTGGTGAAGATGCTGACTTGGTCTCAGGTCTCCCTTCTGGACCTCACCAACTTCTTTGTCACCTCCCCCATGGCCAACTGCACTTTAATCAAGGCATGGTTTGGACTTAGCTGGGAAGCTCTTCAGCCCTGGGACCATGAGGGCCCGGCCTTTGACTTCCCTTGGGGTCACCCAGAAATTGTGAGTGACCTGAGTATGTGACAAGTTGCCTTTATGGCGCAGGCCAACTCAAGAGACCTCTGGAGTCTTTCTTGGCCAAAACTAAGCCACAGTAGATTAGTCCCCTCCTTGAATTTGTGTGAGTCGGCTATCTTCCCATGCTTGCTCTGCGTGTGTTCCACCCAGCTGCAGGAGCCGTGGGGTCCAGGGCCAGGCAGCAGGCTGTGTCTGCTGAGCTGAGCCGGGGGCTGCATTCTGTGCACCTGTGTGCCCTTGGCAGTGATGCCCATCAGGGATCAGATGAGGGGCGCCCTGAGACGTGGACTGGAGCCCCTGCAGGGCTGACCTGGAGGATAAACAGAGGAGGGGCAGGGAGTATCCTCTGGGCAGTCCAGGCCGGAGTCAGGGACAGAAGACATTGAATTTTATCTAGTTCAGCAGAGCAGTATTCTGGGTCCATATGATTCCAGGTCTTTTTGCTCTTCTACAAAAGCAGGTTCTGTACCTGGCAATCATTGTGGGCCCACAGAGACCCCTCGTCTCAGTCACTAACTGCCCTGCTGTTTGCCCATCCAGCAAAAACCCGGGCAGCTGACTTGTTGGTGAACCCCCTGGATCCTCGGAATGCAGATAAAATTAGAGTAAAAATTGCTGACCTGGGAAATGCTTGCTGGGTGGTAAGTAGAATTTTCTTTCTAAAACATGTTCTTCATGACCTAGACCTGGTGGTGCACGCCTGTAATCCCAGCACTAGAGAGGCTGAGGCAGGAGATTTGCCATAAGTTTGAGGCCAGCCTGGGCACCATAGTGAGTTCAAGGCTAGCCTTGAACTGTCTCAGAACAAACAACAACAAAAAAATGTTGGTCCTGATTCTGTGGGAGAAGATATTTTTCCTTTCCTAGTATGTGTTCCTCTCTGGTAACACATCTGTTCCTTTCCAGCATAAACACTTCACCGAGGACATCCAGACGCGTCAGTATAGATCCATCGAGGTGTTGATAGGAGCAGGCTACAGCACACCTGCAGACATTTGGAGCACAGCGTGCATGGTAAGGTGGCGGGATTGGTGTCGGTTCCCATGGCACTCGGCTCTTCCCTTCTGCACCCCTGGTGGGGAGGGGGGCTGTGGAGGCACATGGGCTCAGCTTTCTAAATGTGAAGCTGGGCCACCTAGGGCTGGGCACAAGGGGAGGCGCTGTCATGTGAGTTCTAGGGTGAGAGGAACACGCCTCACATGGGCTCTGCTTTCATGCTGTTTGGTCAATCCCTGTGAGTGATGGCTACTTGCTCAGCCCCTGAGTGGCACACTCGCTGTGCTACACGGACTTCACAGAATTGCTCTCGATCCCTGAAAGTGGGCAGCTTATGTGGGGCTTCGCTCTCACCTGGGCCCAGGAGGCAGAAGGCGAGACTGCCACTCTCGGGAGAGTTGACCAAGGCCAGGAGATGGGTGCTCTGCTCTGCCAGGTTGACTAGAAATGTGGCCTCCTCTCCTTGTGGGTGGGAAAGGGATTCCGCTGTAGGCCAGTGAGCAGTCTGTCTGTATACAGCAAAACCAAGAGAGGATTAGGGCTGCTGTGGGACCCACAGTCACTTCTGGGGCGGCCACAGGCACCTCTGTCCTCAGACTCTTCTAGAAGGTGTGAGGTGCTTTCCTCGGGCTGCACACACAGCTCCTTTCCCTTGTGTATCCCAAGCTCCCATGTCCAGACTCCCCCAGTGCACCTTCGTCCCTTGCTGCTCACCTGTGAATTGACGAGCACAAATGGTCCTTCAGCCCTTCACTCTCACCCTGTTTGAAGGCTTGTTGGGCAGCTTCTCTTCCTTCAGTATGCTTTACTGTCGCTGCTCTGCTGGAGAAGGTAGGGTGTGCGCAGTGGCATTGTGTGGAGTGTCACCCTTGTGCTGTTTCCTGTCCTCTGGTGCCTAAACAAATGGCTCCCATGTGCAGCTTGTGGCCCCTTCTCTCCAACAGAAGCCACACAGAGTGAATGTGAGTTTTCTATTTTGGGAGGTTGACAGGTCTTTTGAGTACACTATTGTTTTGTTCTCTAAGGTGAACTAAAAGCATTGTTTAATGCAGATAGTGCCAGACAGTATGAGAAAAAGTAGATGTTTTGTGTCTCCAAGGAAGCATGATCTGAGGCAGTAGACAGGGCCAAGGAGATCTGAAGCACTCTAGTCCCTTACTGCTCTGAGGGACAATGCCAGGTAGTAATACTTAAGTTATTAGAAATGTAGCTTTTAAGTGAGTTTCACAAGCCAGCTCTCTGCCTTTCAGGTTGGAGAGGCAGGTGTGGTGGGCACTTTGAGCTTGGAAACTGCTGTGTGGAGGGCCCAGCAGCAGGGGAGTGCCTGGAACAGCCAGGCTGCAGGGGCTCTGCCCATCTCAGGAGGCAGTGGGGCTGAGCAGCACTGCCCCAGCTGCACAGAAGGCCACACATCAGGGCTGCCCTGAATTAGGCTCTGGAAACTCTTTGAACTCTGAAGTCTTGTGCTGCTAATTTTGGATATTAAGTTTGGTGATGTAACCAGAGAAATAGGACAGAATCACAGGTGTAGGAACAGTGGTAAGCTGTCAGGGCAGTCCAAGGCAGTGAGGCTGGCTGTCTTGGCCCCTTGTCTGCCAGTGCTGTTGCTGAGGTTGTGTCTACCCTCGAGTCTGTTACTGGAGCCCACAGAAAAGCCAGCTCTGTCTCTTTTCCCCTGTGTGCAGGTGGCTCCCCTGGTGCTGCAGCAGCTGCCTACCTCTTTTTCTCTGACCAAGTGGTGGCTTTAAGAAGGGAACAAGCCCTTATTCCTTTCCCCTGAAGGCTGCAGCTGGGGGTTCTTTCCTGGGTTTTTGTAGAGAACATGGCAAAGAGGGTGCTTAAAAATACTGCATTACATGAAATTGGACTTTTTAATCCCATACTTTAACAAAGCCTTAGGTTGTTCTTGGTGATTGTGTTACTTTTCTCTCTTTACTGAGACAAAATACCTGACACCAAAAGTTAGAGAAAAGGGTTTATTTGGCTTACAGTTGGTAGAGGTTTCAACCTATAGTTGGCTGGCTCCAAGGCAGGAATGGCAGACAAGCCTCATAGAGGAGAAACAACATAGCACACACAAGGTAGCAAAGTCAGTGAGAGAGTTTAACAGCATCCTTCTGCCACTTTTGTCTTATTCAGACCACTGGGATTAGGGTGTTGCCCAACCAGACTCAAGTGTAGTGGTTTAGTAATCACAGGTCCTTATTCCCAGCATCACACATGGCAGATTCAACTACCTCTGAGAAAGTCCCACCTCATCTGCCTGAGGGGGATGTCTAAACACAAGCCCTAACAGTGGTAAAGCCTATAGTCCTTCCAGTGTTGTGAACAGCCTTAAGTCAGAGAGGCATCCCTGCACTTGGTGATGGAGGTGGCTGGTGGCCCTGCTGTTATCAAGGGGAACGTTTGCGCTCTGGAGCTGAGGAGCACAACAGAAGGAGACAGTTAAGTCTGCTTTCCTTTTGCGTGGGCTCCAGACCCTTCTGGACATAGCTGGATGACCTTGGAGACATGTATGACCTTGGAGATGTGCGGGCTGAAATGTTCTTCCACGTTCACCACTCCAAGCCTTCAGTGGGCAGCTTTTTATGGACTCCTGAAAGTCTGTATGGAGTCCTGAAAGACGAACTTTACCAAGCTTCTTCACTACCAGGCACATTGTTATTTATTCAGAGCTGGGTGCTTTGATACAGGAAGGCATTTCAGGAAATAGGCCTCTGATCTCCCAAGAACCAGAGAATAGTTCGTTTCAGGGGAAAGCTCCCTAAAGGGACTGGGCTGACCCTTTTGCCTCTGTCATATTAAGAAAACCTAGTCATGCTTCAAAGAATTGGGAGTCACCATCTTCCATCTTGCTTTTTTAAAAAATTACTGTGTTGATAGACTTAAGCATCTTGTTGGAAATACATGGGATTTGAGCTATTTTTAAATGTTAATAACAGTATTTGACTCTTTTTTTGTTTGTTTGTTTGTTTGTTTGTTTTGGGTTTTTTTGAGACAGGGTCTTACTATGTAGTTGAGATTGACCTGGAACTCACTGTGTAGCCCAGGCTGGTCTTGAACTCATAGAGATCCTCCTGCCTCAGCCTCCCAAGTGCTGGGATTACAGGCATGCACCACCATCCCCAGCTTGACTCTTAAGATAAATCAGACACACATGTGTAAATACAGGATAGTTTCTCTGGTGTGAAAAACTAAAAGTGTAAATAAGATCCAAATTGTATAACTGATAATGTGAAATAGAGAAAAAAAGGGCTAAAGGTATAGGGGAAGTGGGAAGGGCAGGGGAAAGGAAATAAGTAGGGGAAAAGAAAAAATATGAGAAAAGGAAAAAATGGAAACAAAGTCTTTGTAAATAGGGGAGGTTGGAGGGGGTGAAGGGAGGGCAGCGGTATGGGGAAAAAATGAGTCCCAAGATCTGACACGTAAAGGTACAAGATCCCAATGATGAATGTAACTGTACTGTATACCTAAAATGTACCAATAAACTCAATGAAAAAAAAACAAAAAACATAGTATTTGAAGCTGGGCATAATGGCATACACCTGTAATCCTACACCATGGGAGGTCAAGGCAAGAGGAGTGCAAGTTTGAGCCTAGCTGGGGCAACTTAGTGACTTACCAAGATCCTGTCTCAAAATTCAGAAAATAAAAAAAGACTGGGAATGTAGGTCAGTGTGAAGTTCAATCCTGGGTTCAATCCCCAGTACTGCAAACAAAATATAACCAAAAAACCACAGTATTTGGTCAGCAGAGTGATAGCATTTGCTGCCTCTCTGTATTGATACTAAATTAAACTCACATCCCCGAGCCTTGGCAGGCTGAGGGGTTGCAAGAGTAGCCGGGGAAGCAGCTCTCCTCAACATGCTCAGGAGCACCTCTAAAGGCGCTCTGCTCTGCTGCACCTGGGGACAGAGGAAGAGGGTCCTTTTGGTTCTAGGTTTTCTTTTGCTTGAGTCGGAAATGAATGCAGTGAGCAGACTCTGAATGTATCCCTGATGACTGGTACACAAGGATTGTTGCCCTGAGAAACCAGCATCGTCTGCCATGCAGGGCCTGGGTGCAGACAGGCCCACTAAGCTCCTGGACTGACCTCGTGTGGCCACCCAGCCTGTGCTCAGGGCCGCAGTTCTGCTTCCTGTGGTGTAGAGAGAAGACACACTGCTTACATCTTCCACGTGAAGAGATGTAAAAATATCTAGGAGCATTTTTGAATTCTTTTGGAGAAAGAATAAAGAAGAGATTGAGCTGTTTGATGAGGTGCTTTGGTTTGCTTGAGAGCCTCAGAAAATGTAGGTCCCCAGGGAGAGAGCACTGGCTCTGGCAGTCTGGGGGGCTTAGCGCGTTGTCTTTGTGTCCTAGGCATTTGAGCTGGCAACCGGAGACTATTTGTTTGAGCCACATTCCGGGGAAGACTATTCCAGGGATGAAGGTGAGTGTTGCTGCCCACAGAGTACGCAGTCTGGGGTTGCTCCTCGTTCTGAACTTCCACTTCCAGAGAGTGTGATGTTGGTTACTGAACCAGAGCCATGTTTTGGTTTTCAATTTCCAAATTCACACACTTTTCCCTTGAGTTTGAAGCCCCTCAGTGTCAGCAAATGGGTAGTGCCCACTTGGCACAGGCAGCTCGGGAGAACCCTTGGCCCCTCTCCTCCTGGCCTTGCTGGGTGCAGGAGCCAGCATCTAGAGAGGACGGGCACAGCGAGCCCCGAAGCCTCTCCGTAGGCTTTTTGTCCACTGAGCTCTTGCCCAGCTTGCTGTCCTATCTGGGAGCTGAGTTGAAAACCAGGGAATTCGGGCTTGAATTCCCTTTGTAAACTTGACCATCTTCATGCTTACTTGCTTGCAATGCTGGGGTGACTGGGTGAGCTGGCATCAGTCACCGCTGACACTCCAGATGGTGCCTGGGGCCTGCCAGTCCCACAAGCCTCTGCATGGATGTGCTGCAGACATTGTTGACTTGAATCAGTATCTGATTTTTTACTAATTTTACTTTTTCCCCTCTTCTTTTATCCCATCCTTCCCTCTGCCCCTCCCATTCCCATATCCTTTTTTTCTCTCCTCCATAGACCACATAGCCCACATCATAGAGCTGCTAGGCAGTATCCCAAGGCACTTTGCTCTATCTGGAAAATATTCTCGGGAATTCTTCAATCGCAGAGGTAGTACCTCTTCTTTTTGAAAAGCGCCACGATGCAGACAGAAACGGAATAGTAGCTGCTGGTTGCAGCATTAATGATTTCAAAGGCATTTCTTCTAAATTCCAAAAGCAACCCAGAAGAATTCCTGTGCTGATCCAAAAGTTGACAAGAAGGCCTGTGTTTGGCCTGTGCTGCAGTGGCCCTGTGCACTGGCCCCTCCTTGGTGCCGGAGACAGCTGAGTCCTGAGTCTGAACTCCTGAGACAAACCTGTGCCTTTGCTCTCGATCATTCAGGTCGCGCTCTGTTTCTGTCTGCGCGGGCGGTGGTAGTGTCTGCATGCATTGTACTGATTAAACTGTCGTGTGTTTCTGTTTTGCTGGCAATGTTTCCCAATGCAGATCACATAGCATTGATCATTGAACTGCTGGGGAAAGTCCCTCGAAAATACGCTATGTTGGGGAAATATTCCAAGGAGTTTTTCACCAGAAAAGGTAACGGTATTTATGCAACACTAATTTTCAGCATAATCCTCTCCCAAAGGGAGAAATTGTGCATTCATGTTTGAGCAGTGAAGAAAGACTTGGAGTTGTACAACTAGGGAATCTTCTGAAGCAAGCTCTCAAGAAATAACCTTGAATTATCTGGAATCAGTGGGAATAAGAGTTTTGTAAGAGAACAGCCTTTCTAAAAATAATTTTTTATTCTGCCTCTTACCTTTCTTACTCTAAGCACAGTCTGTATATTGAGATATTTGTGGAAAGGGCTTCAAGTGAGTTTTTAAAAGCAGCTAGACGAGTCTCTCCATTTGTGTCATAGACCCTGTAATGGGACAGAGGCAGCCTCAAGACTGGGCCTAAGGTACACGGGGCTCCTTTTGATCTCCTGAACTGTTCGTGGAGTTGGGTGTAGGCCCACGAGGTCCCTTATACATCACATTCTTACCAGTCACACCTCGTTTTCCCTGTGTGTCCTGTAGCACTGTTACACATGTTTGATGTTGCGGTTCTCGCTGGCCCTCTGTTGGCATGACCCTGAACAACTGTTTCTTTGTCTTGTGCAATCTCAGTTAATGATCAGGTTTCAAAAATACCCAAAAGCCCCATGGAATATTTTTTCCTTTATTTAAATTTTTTTGGAGAGCCCCTTCCAAGTGATAAACTCCAGCTTAGATTTTTTTCTGTTTGCAGTACCCTTTAATAAAGAACTTGTAAGGTTGATTTAAGTAGGATATGGAGGTTCTAGAAATTCTGTAAGTCCCGGATACTTGTACCTCCTCTGTTTTAACCAAATTTGTAGAAGCACTTTTCTTTTTCTTTGGAGATGGACTCTTGCGAAATCACTCAGTTGCTCAGAATGCACTTGAACTTGAAATCTTCCTGCTTCAGCCTCCTGAGGTATTGGGAATACAGGTGTGCACCACCAAATCTGGCTGACTTTTTACTTTCCTATAAGATACAAAATTCTCATTGAGTAAAGTTCTCCTCTCCGCACACAGATTCTCATGCAGAGGCCAAAGCAAGAGTTCGGGGCAATAAAATGGCTTTGCTGTTCAACTGTGTTTGTTCCATGATAGAGCTGCAAGATGGGGCCTGTCTTAGAATCTCTAGATTTATTCCCTCACCTGTTAATGGGATAATTTCTGGTTGTGGTGGTGTAAGAAGGTGTAAAATGTGATATTTTGTGGTGTGTGGTACGGTAGCTGCTATCAGTTGCTAAAGCAAAGTTACAGAGAAGCAGTGTAAGAGTTGGGCACATATTTGGGGTTGGAGCTTCGCCTGGGGCGAAGCCGTGGGTTTGATCCCCAGCATGGCTAGTCCTTCCCTAGGTGCCTTTCAGAAGATGTTATTTGAAAAGGGTCAAAGCAAGGAGAAGCTCTGTGTTATGGCCTGGGTGTTCAGCTTGACTTGCAAATCCTGGATTCCTTCCTGGTTATGGCCAGGAGATCACCCACCCCCATCCCCCGTTGGCTGACTTGCCTCGGTCATAGTCTCGCCCTCGGTCTCAGCCTGGCAGCAGTCAGCTAGGCATCTTGTGATCAGCCAGGAGCTGGTCTCTTATGGTACCTGATCTGCAGGGGCAGAGAGGGGCCAAGGAGCCCTGGACCTAGTCCTGTTCTTTCTCAGCATGCAGGCAGGCAGGCAGGTAGGCAGGTTTGGCCCTCAGGGCTTCTTACACAAGCAATAAAGACAGAATCCTGAACCCAGGGCCTCATTCATGCTAGGCAAGTGCTCTACCACTGGGCTACATCCCCAGTCCTTTTAGAATTTTACTTTGAAGCCAGGTGTGGTGGCGCATGCCTGTAACCCCAGCACATCCTTTCTCCTTAAGTTGCACGGGCTGGCCTTGAACTTGTATCCTCCTCACACTCTGAATCAACTAGGGGAGGCAAGCATCACCACACCAGCTGTACAGGAGTTGCTGAGAAGCACTTCTCCACGCTGCACTAATGGTGCTTTGCCCTGGCCTAGAGCTCTGAGCCCTCAGAGCCACTCTGCTGGGTGCCAGGACAGCACCTCTTCTCACCCCTTAGCGCAGCGTCCCTCTTCAAAGGACAGGCAGCAGAGTGATGCTTGCTGACCTCAGGTCTGACCATGGGTGGTTTCCTGAGATCCACTTGTCCTGGGTGCCCCTGTGGCTGTGTAACTCAGGTCCTTACCAGTTGGGCTTTAGGACCTCTGTGTTGTTTGAAGGGGCACTGAGGAGTTATAATGCATTTTGCATTGCATCCTTCTTAGTTACAGACTAAAGACATTCTGACTCGGGGCCACTGTGGTAATTAGACTTTTTTTTTTTCCTCCTTCCTTTGGATATAAGGGAGAATTTATGATGAGGCCAGGAATCCCCTAAAATTACTGAGGGTTCAGTTTAAGTTATTTTCTCATAATTGTTTATTTATAATGGCTGTGGTGATCAGAAGGAATTTGGGGTCTTGACAGAAGTCACAATAACATTATGAGCAATGAGAACTTGTCATGAAAATAGATCTTGTGTCCCCGAGGATGAGGGCAGTGGCAGTGGCACGTCCCCCAAGTTCTGTTTGGAATATGCACTGGATAATGGTGGTAAAATCAGCACAGACAAGAGCGGCCCTCACCGGGCTGTATTCTTTTGACCTACTGATAGCCATTGCTTTAGTAAAAAAATACTTTGTCGAGAATGGGAGCATCAAAGGATATGGTTCGCTTGAAGGAGCATCAGCTGCATTGGAACGAACTTGCGTGGCTGTGCACACCGGCATGGGCGTCAGACTGCAGGGCTTCTTTATTTAATGAGTGCAGATGTCAGAAAGGCCCCATGCAGGTGCAGGAAGCAGCCTTGCCTGGCAGGATCTACACCTGCGGAGCCAGGGTGCTGGAGAACGCTGTGCTCTGCAGTAGAGGGAAGGGATCTTATCTCCAGAGTTATGTAAAAGGCAGCAGATTTTCTGATACCTGCAAGAGCAGACATCTTTTGTGGGTGTGTGACCCATATAGGCTGGACATTGTCCCCACCCCATCTTGATTTTCCTGGCTTCAGGTTTTAAAAGAGTCTCAAGTCATTTTGCAGCTGCGCAATTGCCAGGCATGGGCATTAGAACAATCTGTGAGCTGTGGGGCGTCCTTGAGGGCCTGGTTGCCTTTGGAAACCCTGGAAAAGAAGGGTTGCATAGGGCAGTGTCTTCTCAGTGTGAGCTTGATTCTGTAGAAATAAAAATAGCTAAGCAGTGTCCTCTTACAAGTTAATGAGCCCTAATGGTTGCAGTGCATAGATAAACTACTCTCACTGCAGTTTCATCTTGAAACCTTAATTCCAAGCTTTAAAAGGCCTTGTTGTCTAGCACACCCAAGGGCCTGGGTTCAGTTCCAAGGTGGGTGGCTGAGTGGATGAGTGGATGGACAGACAGAATTCTTTCTTCTCTGTGATTGCACACACCTCCCCTAGGAGTTAAGCTGAGAACAGCAGCTTGGCCTAGTTTACTGATCGATGTCCGGTTCCGAGCACATTCGTGCCTGGCAGAGAGCAGGTCTAATAGATAGCTTCTGAGTAAGTTCAAGCACAGGAACCTGTACATAGGCTTTGGTTTGGGAGGAAACTTTGTGACCTGGCAGGTGACCATGTGTTTAGTGCCCGGCCTGCGCTCTGGGCAGTACTGCTCCACTGTACCCCATGCTTACTCCAGCTGGCCCTGTGTGGAGAACCCTGCAGCTGGAGCTGTGTTGACAGGCAGGGTTCCATGAGAGAGATGCTGTGCCCCAGAGGCAGAATCCAGTGACGCAAAGTGTAGCAAAGACGTTCTGTGAAGTGACAGGCCACAGGCCACACAAATGGAACTGCTTTGAGTGTTTTAATCATTTCAACATTTAGTACAGTTGATGCAAAAAGCAATGAAATCATTGCTGTAACAGGTTTCAGATAATTTCCATTACACAAGTTGCCTATCCCTTACCAAAATTCTTGAGAACAAAAGAGCTTCAAATGTCACATTTTCTCACGTTTTGGAATATTTGCACAAGTATATAATGCAGTATGTTGGATATTGGACCCAAGTCTAAGCATGAGATTCATTTGTTTCATACACACCTTATATACATAGGCTGAAGGTTCTACTGTTATTTTTTTTGTGGTACTGGGGATCAAACCCGGGGCCTCACACGTGCCAGGCAGGCGCACTACCACTGAGTGACATCCCAGTCCCTCTGATGGTCATTTAGACAGTAATTTCAGCATGCCTGCATTTGGACTGCATCTTCTCACATGAATGAGGTCAGCTGTGGAAGTTGCCACTTGTGGTGTCCTGTTAATGCTTAGAGCATAACCAATTTTGGATTGGGGTGCTCAACTTGTAGTTCTTCCTGTGTGTTCCCATCATTTACTTTGATTTACTGAGGATGAAATGTTTACTTTTACTGTAAGCATTGACACAACGCTGGATGTTGTCTGTGTTGTGCCCATTTAAAAAATAATTTTATTGAGATATAATTTTCACTCCTTACAGTTGACCTTTAAAAGGTGTGCAATTCAGTAATTTTTAGTGGATCCACAGAGTCAAATAACCGTTGCTAATATTTAATTTTAGAACATTCTCGTTACCAAGAGGAAGCCTTGTACCCACACGCCAACCTCGTATCCACACGTCCATTCTCTCCGCTCCTCACCCGGGGCAGATGCTGCTTCTGTTTCTGTGGATTTGTCATTAGATACAGCAGACAAGTGGGATCCTCAGACAAGGCACAGCTGCTGGCTTTTGTATTTGGCGGCTTTCTTGGACTCATTCATGTGGTAGCGTGTGTCAGTACTCCAGTCTTCGTATGCAGTGTGCTTTGTGTATCAGTTTATCAGGCCAGGCACACCTGGTTGTGTCTGCATTTTGGCTGTTGTGCATAATGTTGATGTGGTCACTAACGTGCAGGGTCTATGTGGGTGTAGGTTTTCATTTCTCGAATGCATACGGGTGATAGCTGAAGTGGTTTTCACTTTTTATACTTTTCCTTTGCTTATTTGTGCTTTCTATATCCCACCTAAGAAATCATTACTTTAAGGTCATGAAGAAGATTTACTTTCTCCTGTCATTTTCTCTTCCCTTGTAATTTAGTCCTATGTTCTATTTGGAGTTAATTTTTGTTTGTGATGTGAGGTGGGATTTATATACATTTTTATTTTTTTATTTTTTGGTACGGAGATCCAATTCGGGTCCTTCTGAGGTAGGCGCCGGAACCACTGAGCTAAATCTCCAGCCCTATATACATTTTAGTTGAAATATTTAGCAAGGGCTGGGGATTTAGCTCACTGGTTCCTGTGCCTGCTTTGCAAGCACAGAGACCCAAGTTCAATTTCTGGTGTGCGCACCCCCCCCCAAAAAAAAAAACGTTTACCTACCTGTACTTTGCCTGCCTGCATAGGAATTCATCTATATTTCTTAAATTTGTCTTTGGCTTTGTACTAGTATTTATTAGGTTTCCTTTCTATGGGTACAGTACTGAAATTTAGTTTATATCGTGGTTTTACTTTATTGTTATCAATATTCATTCAAATATAGTCACAGTTTTTGTCTTTATAGTCCTTTCACATAAATGTGAAACCTCATATGCTTCTGTGTCTAATTCTGGAATATAACTGCATGGACAAAATAACATATTTTCCTTCACAAATCACAGTAAACATTCAAGAGGCGCATAGAGGAGGAACTTACAAAGCACTCTGATAGTCTGGGGCTGCAGGTGCCGCTGCTGCCTCAAGCCTTTACTCCTTCCTCCTAGACTCCTTCCTGCCAGCTTTCCTTGCCTCTGTCCAGAGGTTTCTCAGCAAGCGTGCAGGCCAGAGGGCCACTGGGGAATTCGCCTGCTCTGCTAGCTGAGCTTTTGTGTGCATATCTGTGAGGGGAGGGGGTGAGGTTGGCAGCTTGTAGTCACAGGAGAAGTAAAACAGTGCTCACTGCTAAGAAGGTGGTGGAGCAGGAGCGCTACTGTCCACTGATTCAGTCCCAGCACCACCGATAAAAGTGGAGACCCAGCTTTTTTTCCTTTCTTAATTAAACACCATCACAGTTAAGTGTCTGATTATCTCCAAATTTGTTTAAGTGAAACATAATCTTTGTATATTTTCCGAAGAAAAAATTATCAGGATTAAAATCCTTTCACTGAGAAGGGAGTTAATTTTATAGTAGCAGCAAGTAGGAGTCATAGCGGCTGTTTACAGGCCAGGGTTTCTTTGTGTATTGTACAGGGGGATCCAGACAGTCTTGCTAGATGTCTGTAGTCAGAAAACTTCTCTCTCCGTGAAGTCAATCAGTGCTTAGCGTGCGTGGCTTCCACAGGTTGAACCCACCTCAGATCTGAAATGCATCTGTCCTCAGCATGCAGACATGGTTCCTTGTTGTTATCCCGTAAACAATACAATGTAGCGAGTATTTGCATAGCATTTACATTGTGCTAGGGATTGTTAGTAATCTAGAGCTGATTTAACAAGGAGAAGAGGAGGTGCGATGCGGGCAGTTTGTATACACATACATACCTTGCCAATTTCGTAAGGGGCTGGGTGTCTTTGGATTTGTGTTGTGAGCTAGAGGAATGTTCTTGAAACCAGACACTGTGTGTATAGGAGGATGACTGTCCTTTTTTTTTGGCCCCGGGGATCATTGAACTGGGGTCCTTGTGCTTAGAAGGCAGGCGGTGGAACCACGGAGCTAAATCCCCGGCCTGTGACTGTGCTTTCTGTTGTTGTTGCTTTGTTATGTTTTAATTTTCTCTTAAGCTTGAATTTTATCACTGGCAATAAATATTGATCCATCGATGTGATGGGTCCATTTTGTTCAGGTGGTGCTGGTTTTGTTTTTGTGCTGGGGATTGAACCCAGGGCCTTTTGCATTCTGTGCAAGCACTGTGCCTCCGAGCTGTGGCCCCAGCCTGAGTTTACTCAGTCTGATGCCTGTTAAAGGAACTTAGTTAAAAATCACCACCCTCAAACATGGGTCCTTCTGCTCTTCTGGGAAGACTGCTTCTCATTCATTTGTTCCAATACAGAATGCTTGAATGACTCCTGAATTGCATTGAACTTGTCCTAGCTTGTCATGCGTAAGCTCTCGGTGAGATAGATCAGCAAGCCGCCTCAAATCCATAATAGTCACTTTACGGAAAAGTGGGAATTGAGAGAAAACCTTACTTAGCACTGCTGGTTGGTGGTCTTGTTGCATGTTCTTTCCATCTTTTTTGTTATTTAAAAAGCTTGTAACTAACTGCAGAGACTGTTCTTGTGCTGCTTGACAATTTACCCTGATTTCCCCCTTGTTGTTTGGTAGTAAATATTCACCAAGTACCATAGTTTGTTTGACCATTGCTGTCCATTTCTGAGCATTTATAATTTTGCAAACATGCCATATTGTGTTGAGCACATTTTAGGAATAAAGGAGATGCCAGGGTTTGCCCCCTGGCTGGGATTCCTTTTGAGCTGGCCTCTAAGGCAGAGGGCGGAATGATTGCTGAGGCTCCTTTCTTACTGAGACTGCATCTCCTCTTAGGGCTGGCCTTTTCCACTTCTCCATTAGATGTACACATGAGCTGTAGTCTGGAAGCCAAGTTTAACTGTGTCCCAGACCACACCTTGGGCAGAAGCGTACTTGGCACACAACCCTTAATAAGAACCCTTTCAAAGCAGCCTTTCAGACCAGAGTCCCATGCCCGGTGGATTTGCAGCTCGCAGGGGCGCATAGGCTTTGAATGCTTGAGGGGGAGAGTAGAGCCCAGCGGCAGTCACTGCAGGGAAGGCTCTAGGGGATTTCTGCTTTTGCTTTTGTAATTTTATGCCATATTCTTTTGTTTTTGTTACCGTTTAAAAAGGGTAGTGTGTTTCCAAGTTAATTTGAATAATGAATAAAATAGCCCAGGTCTCCCAAGGAGACACTGTGAGCATAGCACTGATTCTCTCTTGATGCATATTATGAAAAATGTGTACTTGGCAGCTGAGAGCAGGGACAGGGCAGAGGGCAGGGCTGGGTGTCCTGTGAACTTTTCAGACCTGGGTGGAGAGGAGCTATTCAGAATCAAAGTCACTCTGACCTGTTGATAGTTTGACTTAACTCGGTCTTCCTGTTAGGAGAGAGGCCAGTACAGTTCACAGATGCTTTACTAGCTTCTTAGTGGCTCTGCTGCATCAGTCAGAGCTGCCTGTAACCACCTTTCTTGAGTAGCGCCTTGTATACTAAGCTAGAGCATTTTGAGCATTATAACTTCAGGGTTTATAAAGGTATGTCCTTGAAATCTTAGATTTTACAACAAATTGTAGACATGAACAGTTTCTGGCTTGGGTGCCTAGCTACTTGTAGCTGTTTAAATTTAGACAAATTAAAATGTTACTTCAGTTACACCAGCTACATTTCACTGCTTAGATTGGACAGCACAGAATAAAAGTACATCTGTACCATCATGGAAGTTCTCTCAGTGCTGTTCAGAGGAAAAACTTCCTTTTCTTTGTGTAACATGGTGCGTCTTAGAGCTTTCTCTAAACAAGCTTGTAAGCTGCCTAATAGCCCAAATTGGAGTTGGGTTTTTTGGGAATTGAGAACATTCTGGAGCTGGGCATGGTGGCACATACGTGTAATCCCAGCACTGTGGGAGGCTGAGGCAGGAGGATTGCCAGCCCAGCCTGGGCAATTTAGTAACTTAGTAAGTCCTGTCTCAAAATAAAAAAGGGTTGGAGATTCAGCTCAATGTGAAGCTCCTGAGTTCAGTCCCCAGTACTGCAGAAAGAAAACTTTCTGGGCATTCCTAGAACACTGCTTAAAGAAACCTAGAACTGATGTGAATGAACTACAGTTAACCTTTTAAATCCACCAAGCGTACTTGAACTATGACATGGTCGCAGACCCTTCTTGTGATTATTGTGAAAGAGGAACGTTAGCCTCCCTCCTGGTCAGTGTAAGGTGCCGATTGAGCAGGTAGGTAACTTGGCTCGGCCAACTCTGGGAAGTGTGAAGTTGGAGCTTCCTTGATACTGATGTTTTTCCCTGGTAGGAGAACTGCGGCACATCACCAAGCTGAAGCCCTGGAGCCTGTTTGATGTACTTGTGGAAAAGTATGGCTGGCCGCATGAAGATGCTGCACAGTTTACAGATTTCCTCATCCCGATGTTAGAAATGGTTCCCGAGAAACGAGCCTCTGCTGGTGAATGCCTTCGGCATCCTTGGTTGAATTCTTAGCAAAGCTACAAATACACCATTCTGAGCTAGCGAGTGTTTTCCAGTACATTGGACCTAAACGGTGACTCATTCTTTAACAGGATTACAAGTGAGCTGGCTTCATCCTCAGACCTTTATTTTGCTTTGAGGTACTGTTGTTTGATATTTTGCTTTTTGTGCACTGTGATCCTGGGGAAGGGTAGTCTTTTGTCTTCAGCTAAGTAGTTAACCATTTTCTCCTGGAAACAATAACATGTCTCTAAGCATTGTTTCTTGTGTGGCATTCAAATGTCATTTTTATTTTGAATGAAAAATTTCTTTCCCCTTTGTGTTTTGGCAGGATTTGTAACTATTTATGAAGAAATATTTTAGCTGAGTACTATATAATTTACAATCTTAAGAAATTATCAAGTTGGAACCAAGAAATAGCAAGGAAATGTACAATTTTATCTTCTGGCAAAGGGACATCATTCCTGTATTATAGTATATGTAAATGCACCCTTGTAAATGTTAATTTCCATTAAATATGGGACAGGGACTAAGTTTCAGAAAAGCTACCAAGGCCTGAGTGCTTTGTTAGCCCACGTTGCATGTGGCAGCCTCGCTGCTCCAAGGAGCTGTGCAGACTTTTCGTTCCCTCAAAGTCCATTCCCTTCGGATTTTAAATGAAGTGGCTCTGGGTTACCAGACATCATTCCCTATGTGGCACTTTACAGGAAGAAAAGAGATGCTTGTTCTAACATACATTATGATTTAGCAGTCCCATTTGTATTTTTGCATATTTTTAAGAGGGCTTTTAAAGAAAAAAAAAGTGATTTCCCTTAAAAAATGTGATGGCCTGGTACCACGTGGTGTTGCCTCCTCCGAGCACTGTAAGTTAAATGCATAGATTAAATTGGACAAGAGAAACATGTTCAGCGTGTGGAATGACAATATATATATTTTTTGAAAAGCAGGAGCATGTTTGTCTAAACCCGAGGCGGGCAAATGCAGTTGGAGTGCGCTGGGCAGACTCCGCCCAGCGCCAGGGAGACAGTGATCTCAGCCGTTCCATAGGCGGCTGGATGGCGGCTACAGGAGTTTACCGGCTTTCTCGTCGTCTTTCCATGAGTGAGAAAATCATTTTTCCTCTGTGGGTTGCACAGGGTTTTTGTTTATGCATTTCCTCAAAATTCACTGTAGAATCCAGGACACAAACCATTATTAGTAGGCAATACAATTTTAGAAGATAATATTTAGAGGTATATTTAGCCTCTTTTAGAAGTCAGTGGGTTGAATGTCTTTTTATTTCGAATTTTACATTCATTAAGGTGCCTCGTTTTTCTTGACTTTGTCCATTAACATTTATCCATATGCCTTTGCAATAACTAGATTGTGAAAACTAACAAGTGTTGTAATAATAACCTATTGTTTGAGGTGCTTGCAGTTGTCTTAAAAATTAAAGTGTTTTGGTTTTTTCCCCCAGACATTGCCTTGATCATTGCCCTGAATTTGAAGAGATAGAATCAAGCATTTGTTGCATGTGTAGTGTTACCAGAAGTAAAGGGAACACCGACATCCCTGTTGTGGCAAACGTAGCTATAGAACGTGAATTAAGGCTTCTTGTAAGGAAATCAGGAAAAATGCTAATTCTGATTCGTTATCTAGAATTTCAGTGATCCTTTTTATCCATGCTTCATCAAAAATCATGTTAACTGCATTTTGTTTGAGCATTTCAAACTTTCTTTTAAAACAACATTCACTCTGAGGGAACAAGCAAGACACACAATCCTCCTAAAAGTAGCATTGTGTCACACGTTGCTGTGAGGTGGAGTGTGCCATTCATGTGTGACATGTGCATGCTGTGTTTTTAGGTCTGTCTCCGTCTTGGTTCTCTGACAGAAGTTGGCCATAGACCAGTGATGGTATCCATGGTTTCCACAGGAAACATTCTCACAAGAACTACAGAGTACATTTATATCTTCCCGTATCTAGAAAAATTTTTATCAGAATGGTAGTACGCTTGATTGAAATTTGTCTGAAGTTTTAGTTCCCGTTGGAAAAGAAACTAGATTGTTCATTTGTAAGTAGCATCTCTATGATAAAATATAGCCTAGTTTACAGTGTAGGACCAGTTGCTCTAGAGAAAAGTGTACACCTGTATTAGGTACCATTTGGTTTTTGGCTTGTTCTCGGTGGCTTGTTGATACAGAACGCACACAGGCTAAAGGAGAACCACTGGTTATGACAAACAGTTACGTCAACTTGTCTGCTGATTTTGGTGGCATGTCCCCTCTTTTCCCTTCTGTGGTCCATGTTAAGTATCATGGAAAATTACGGGCAGTAGGTCATGTATGTGATGGCAGCAGATCCAGAACTGCGCAACAGCAGAGAAAAGGTGGTTGCTGGAGTTGCAAAGAGGCATGACATATTTGGGTGACAACTCATTTGCTATTTCCTTCCCTACCTGGACAGACATAACCTTAGTAACAGGATAAAGTAGGCAAACTTTCCATGGGAGCAGAGAGCTTGTTTCTTGTTTGTAGTTCCACTTTTTTCTCGCCCTTTTAGAGACGAAAGTTTGGTAGAGGACAGTATTGGAGGGTTTCCTTCAGCATAGAATTATTTAATATTCTGCAGTTTGCACATGAGCTTCTGTAGGTACTAGTTCTGTAGCAGGTCATTTTGAAACAATGAACAATTTAAAATGCTCAGGAGGGTAGTTCTTTTAAAGATGTGAATATTGCTATTTTATGTTAAACTATCAGGCGATGGATGATGTAAAGCCGTTTCTTCTCAAATGTTTCTTTGTGATTGCTGTAGATAGAATTTTGCTTCACAAGTCAAATGGCAAAATTCGTTTCTTCTCAAATGTTTCTTTGTGATTGCTGTAGATAGAATTTTGCTTCACAAGTCAAGGATGGCAAAATTGACTTATGTTCTAAAACCTGAAGCTGATTAGGATTAAACCCTAAGTGTGCTGTATTAACACACAGTCCCTAAGCTAATTTTCAAAAGGAAATGAAAATTAAAATCATAAAACATGACTTAAATTACTACCAGATCTGTCATTTTTAAAGTCTGTTTACTCTTTTTCTGATCCACAAAATTTGTACACTGTGCCCAAATTACGCCAAGTATTTGGATGGTGGAAAATCTGTTGATGCGGTCGTTGATTGATGTTGGATATACTACCCAGTATCCTAAGAGATAGAAGGCAAAGGCTGGGGATCTTCATTTCCAAGATCAGAAGTAGCATTTTATACTTCACCTATAATTGTTCACCTGGGAGGCCATCTTCATTTTACTTAATGCCTTTCTGTCGGTTTTGAATTCCCAGACCCAATTTAACGAAACATGTCCTGTGACTATAAAAGAATCTGTGAGTAGATATTAAACATAGATCTTTCAGATCATTTTTGATTAACCAATAGAATATTCAGGCATGTTCTCAAATGTGCAAAATGATATATTCCTGTATTGTAGAAGGCAGACTACTCATATCTTCAATCAACTGCTACAGACTGCAGTCTTTCTGCGTAATGCATTAGTGGTCTGGACTCATTTCATAGGATGCCAGGTAATTTAAGACAACCCGCTTGGTCGTTAAGCAGTTTCTTGTGACCCTCTCTCCTGCAAAATGCCATTTAGGAACCATTCTGAGAACAGCCTCTCACTGCTGCTACCACCCAACAGAGGTAGGAGTTGCTAAAGAAAATTGACGATTCCTTACAAATTATATTCAAAAACTAACTTTTGGGGCCGGGGATTTAGCTCAGTGGTTCTGCCGTCTGCCTCGCAAACACAAGGTCCCGAGTTCGATCCTGGTACCAAAAAAACAAAAACTGTAACTTTTGTAAAAACACTTAAACAGACCCAAATTTAGAAGTTAGCTGTACAGGACAAGTTGGTAAAACTGACATAATTGTGATTTATTAACATGAATTAAAATGCCCAACCAGTGCTTCAATGTGACAGTATATTTAAAATAAAAAAGAAATTAAAATATCATATACTGTACTACTTTCACAAAGATCACACAGTTTTGCAAAAAGACTTGTCATATGTACAATGCTATATATCAAATGAAAAGCAGTAAGCAATTATATACGCAAAAGAAATGTAATATTTACAGTTTGTCAGACCTTAGAAATCATCTATACATTAAATTACATTTTGCGGAAATAACTGATAATGAGCCATATCCACACTGAACTATAAAAAAAAAAAATCTGTATTGCATTTTTATACCTAAGATGCACTCTCACGGAACTGCTGACCCCCCCCAAAGGAAAAAATCCTCATAGTGCCATTACGTAGCGGTGTACTTAATGCATATGTATAAAATAATAGACATTCACTAAATGAATTAAGTGCAACAATAAAATTTAAAGATCATGGAGCATCAAATCTACTGCCGGAATAACAGCTGGAATGTTCACTTACAAAATAAAGAAACCTAATACTGGTTTAACAGCACATTTTAAAAGAAATTTTAAAAAGCAAAAATGGGGAAAATACAATGAAAGAGCACTGGTGTTTTTTTATACAAAGTTTCATGTACAAGCTTTAAAAAGTACCTCAATAGGTACATATGAAATATACAGTTTATCTTACACAACATTTAAAAAAATGTTTTGGAAACGAGTCCGCTCTAATGCCAGCCCGAGCCGTGGTAACTGTTCTGGAACGTGGGCGGCACCTGTGCCCTGTGCATGGGGAGCTGGCCGGGCACGGGCGAGGCCTGCTGAGGGCCCTGCACCCCGTGCGG